AGCAGGAAATGTGTCACAGTCACATGATGCTGGGCTGGCCCTAAAAATAAAATCCTAGAGTGATATGAAGATCTGAACAACTAGTTTCTGTAAGTGTGGAGCAAATACCGTAAAGATGTACATTCTCACACATGCACACCAGAGGCAGGGGCAGACATGACTAAATGACTGTACCATGACTTAGGCTCTCCATAGTGTAAGTAGTTAATGCTATACAGATCCATATCCTCTGTGTGCCAGGCAAAAGCACTCTTCCACATCCCAAAGTAGAGGTACGGCGTGTTGACTCCTTTAATCTTGACGCCACTTTCGTTCTCCACAGTATCCAGGATGGTGTTAAGGCAACTGATGTTCCACTCTGTCACATCCTGGACAAGAAGAATTCACAGGGAACAAAAGGCAAAAAATTACAAGACAGCATTTAAATGAAATGAAAAATAAGTAGTGTGTTTAAATTTTAAATGTAACCCTACTTACTGGGTCATACAGCGTCCCACTGACATCAGCACCATAAAGAGGAGGATTAATGGTCAGGTTCTTCCAAAACTTTCTCTCAAGGTCATCGAAATCCACATATCTGGGACTGCAAAACCTGCAGGTCAGATTATTTAGATGGTCAAAAAAAACATTTTCATTTTCATTCACTTATTAAACACAATTTGAAAAACAACCCCTCTGTAAAAACTGACTTTTCTAAGCTGGAGGTCTTGCGAAACTCGTGTACAGTCATTGGCTTCTTCTGGATGTTGTACTGTGTGAACAGTCCCGACTGACCGGTAACCACCTGCTGAATTGGAGCAGGAATCACCAGGTCATCCACGTTGTCATAGGACTTTCTGGGTTTCCAGCCTTTAGGGGGAATAATCTGGAAGAGAGGCCCACATACAGACGTACCAGAGCAGTCAAGCATCAAGAGAGTTGAATTCATTGTTTCACTTCATATGAATATTTAACTGGTAAAAAATTGTATTTTATTACCCATTCCATTTAAAAACTGATCAACACTTAGAAATAATTTAAGAATAAATATAATAAACAGGGGATGGTATGGCGTGACGGGGACACTTCCAACAACAGATAAAATCCTGCAGGATTACACTTCTCGTAGGGCGGGGCGATATGACCTAAAATCAAAATCACGATATATTTCACCTCGATAACATAAATGGACGATAACTACAAATATGCACAGAAACAGAAGTTGTCCACTAGAGGGGGCTGTCACGTGTACTGTATTACGGTGGTACAGCTTCCTAAAGGGACATGAATGTTGCCAACCTACACACCTTTTCATTTTTAAATAACACATTTATTGACATGGGAATAATTATATAGATAAGTCAGAAATTTAGAAAACGGTACATTTTAAATTTACTGTCCAGCCCTAACTTCTCGTTACTACCCGTCTTATGGGCCATTCCCATCTGTATCGGGTCGGCCCGGGCCGGGTAGCGTAGGTTGTTTACATATCTGGGTGGCCTGGTATTTTTCCGGGCCAACCAAGGCTCATTCTCAGCCCTCTTCTGGAGGGGGTCTGCTTCAGGCCGACCAGGGCCAACACACCCACTGCTGACAGCAAATTCACACCTTCCATTAGAGCAAGCCTCTGATTGGTGGGTAGAATCAGCCCACATGGGCTTAAGGCAAGCATGTGTGGGATCAACCGGGCCAGGCTGGGGCCGACTGGGGCTACCCGGCCCGGGCCGACCCGGTACAGATGGGAATGGCCCATTAGTAAAACTGACGTTTTTGTTTTCTTGGGCTTGGGTTAGACTGTGTAGAAAGTAAATGTTTTATCTGTCAAAAATAATTCACAAAAGAGACGTTTTATCATAGGAATGAATGGAGAAGAGCATTTCCTTCATGACTTTTTTCTAATTAACTTACAACATTGAAAACATGAACACGATGAAGCTTATAAATATGTCACTGTAAACACTATACATAAATAAACATCCATCCATCCATCCATCCATCAAATGTGTTAAGGAGGAAGAGGAAGAACAAGATTTTTATGGCACCCTACAAGATAACAGGCACGTTTACAGAGGGCGGCAGATGCACCAAGCCTGTGGTTTGTATGTTTGTTAGTTTCTATGTATTCTACCTACATTTTTCAGTGTTGATTATGTTGGAAAAAAATATTTAGAGATGTCTGCATAGGTTCTGTAACTTCTGCGAAGGAAGTTACAGATTTACAGAAACCCGTGAAACAAAAATGGCCCTAATATTTTCAAGTGAAAGCCTTGTTTGTCCTGGTAATTTATGTAGTCATCAAAAGTCATTTGTCACCACAAAGCATCACAACAACACAACGCCTAAGAAACAGCCCACTTACTTTAGCCATCCCAGCTCTGTGTGCTCCTTGTGACTCCATGTAGGCCACATATTGGACAAAGTCCTTAAATTCTTCTTTGGAGGGGGAGAATGTCATCACCCCAGGACCCAGGTTCTGGGCTGGCGTGTCTGTGGTCATCTTGGGACTTTAGCTACATCAGCTCTGATTGGAAGAAAACATGGACACATCAGGTTCTGTACTCACTGTCCCAGATGAAGTAGTCTGTCTTTTATCAGTTTGTTCTAATTAGATGTAAGTGATCCAGTTTGAGTTGGCTCGTGGAGACCAATACCTACCGATCATGAGCGGCTCATGTAACAGAGCTAGGCACTTTACCAGTAGCCTTAATGCTGTTAGACTCATGACTGAACTGTGAACATCAGCTAAAAAACATACACAAACATGTTGGTTCTTCCCTGCACCCCGACACACCGTCACATCATTAAAATGAGCAGATGTGATCATTACCAGTACGACATTATTAAGTAAACATTCACTAGAAAGACTGCACTGCAGGGGGCATCTGTTGATGAGACTTAAACATTTTCATCCTCTTTTGAACACGTCATCAGATCTCTGTGGAAATGAAGACAAACATACTGGCAGTTTGGGGAGTATGAGTCTTGTGTCCACATACATCCTTTTATCTTTTACAGCCCAGATGTATTCACAAATTAACTGTGCTGCTGCAACAAGTGAATTTCCCCCTGTGGAAGCAATAAAGTCTATTCTATTCTAAATAATCACACTGCATCCTTAACTACATAGCTGAATAAGTTTAGAGGAATCATTTGGTTTAGCTGAGACGATGAAGCTCCTCAGATGTGAAGGAGAAAGAGGAGACTCCTGCTCTCACTCGCTGTTTGCTTTTTACGTTTTCCATCTTTTAGGGTGGTGATTTGCATGTGTTATCTTTATATTACAGACCCAGCTTGCCAAATCTAGCCATCCACGATACTGTCAATAATATAGTGTGTGACTTAAAACATAAAAGGTCATCGCTAAATTTAAATGAGAAGATAATTTCCTAGTGTTAACCCTCTGGGGTCCAGGGTGTAATTTGCAGTTTTTGCCTAATTTAGTTTTCCTTTGTGTTTCCAAAATAAAAACCATAACCACTGCCTTATGTGGTATCAATCTTTTCAGCACAACCTGAATTTATACTTATTTTTTATATTTGGACATAAAGGGGTTGCATATTAGACCTCAAATCACTCAAAACATAAAATCCAAATTGGAAAAAAGTTGTTTATTTTACTGTGAAACCAACAAACATTTATGACAAAAGTTTTTTATAATTTAGAATGGTAATCTAGACTGTACATTTACAAAAAATATGAATAAATATAGCAAATAATTAAAAAAATAAAGATTAGCCCTCTGGGGTCCAGGGTGTAAATCACCGTTTTTGACTCATTTTGGTTTTTCTTTTCTATTTTCTAATAACAACAATAAATATTGCCTTATAGGGTATCATTTTTTTTTCAGGAAAACCTGGACTATCTGAATTTATACTTATTTTATTAATTTGGCAATAATGTACATGCATTTTGGAGTGGGGAGTGGCTCTGTCTCACGCTGCAGAGATCGAGATCTGACAGCTGCGCGGCGCCGCCCACTCCTCTGGTTGTATCTCCGAGGAGCTGCATCTCTGCCTTCATCCTCTACCTCATCATGACCCAACTCTTCTATGAGGAAGGATGGATCTGCCACATCGTCATCAACATCCTCGTTATTTGCCTCAGACTCTGGCTGCGAGTCTCCGTCCAGTTCATCTGTTTCCAGTTCAAAAAACAGCCGTACTATCTGAACTGCCTGGTGGACATTTATCCTTCTCATCATCCTTTATTAAAGCCTAATAAAAGCCTACTAAACTGCAGAGACAATATATCTGTCCGGATCGCTCCAAAATAGGAAGTTTACCATCAATATCTGTCTAATTGTTTGTTGTTACTCCGTTTGCGCCACTCCTTTCCCCGCGAAGCGGCTCCTTTTTGCGCACATCTCGTTACTCGTGCGGCCTTCCTCTCTCTCTCAGCTACATAATGATACTTTTTATCAGTTGAATATGTGAGACTTCCACCAACAGCAAAAGGATCTCATGTTTTTGTGGGTTTTTTATGTTCACAAGCACATTCCCTCTCACGGATTACTAAACTGCTGTTTGACAAGTTATCAGATTGTCTAAAAATAGGTCGTTTTTTAGTTTAGTATAACTCCGCTTTTACGCTGCCTATTAACAACATTTAAAAACTGGGGTGTAGTCTCCTTTTAAAGCTGAATTGAAACTGAAACTCAGGGAGGCGGAGTCTTGCTGCTAGAGCGTCCCAAATCAGACCTGTTCAAAAGACGCGGATACGCGTCCATGGACCACAGAGGGTTAACCTGCACAATAGAACACAGGGACTACAAAGTTCCCACTTTGCAGAAATAAATGCTCTGTACAGAGTTTTTGGCAAAATCAAAAATATCATTCTTGTCATTTTTTTAAATGTTGATTGAGGGTTTTATCACCTTCTCCTAATTTGCAGCATCTGTTACCATAGAGACAGGCTCAGGTAAGAAGTGAACCAGTTTGTCACCAAGTCACTAAACACATCATTAGAGCAGGCCTTTGGTACTGAAATGAGGTGAATGTAACGTCAGAAGAACACCACCACATGCCTTATTGATATGAGGCATGTGGTGGTGGTGTGGACACTGTATCATTATTAACTTCATTCAACGCGATTGACAAAATTTTTTCTACGATGAGAACGGAGAAGGGGGCTCCCACCTGTCCCGAGGGGACATTCGCATCAGGATATGCACTCGATTCTTGGGAGGTCTGGCGAATCGTGTGCCTCTCTCAGCTGTCCATCGAGGACGTGGAAGATTTGTGGATGTTCGGCCTGATGATCACTGGATTTCTCCTGATTGGAGTGGGAGGATATCTGGTTTTCTGGAAATTTGGGAAGACGGGAGCGATTGGAGTGCAACCCGTGCCCACGGAATGTGCCGCTCGGGCGGTGACCTCACAGACTGGGACGTTACTCGAGGTGAACCGTAAGCTGGACAATGTCCTCGCGGCATTGCCTGTGATAGTACGCGAGATGGATTTGATCTCGGAGAGGGTCGCCGGACGATGCGGGGATGTTTAGAATGTAAAATTGGCTTCACTGGTGGACATGAATGACCACTTAGAGACTCCAAGGCGGAGGGGAAATTTATCTCTGCCTGCCCTAAACAAAGTCATGTTTATCCTTATCTGACGCCATAGCAGCCTCTCACGGCTGCCTCAACACACCCCCCACGAAAGGAGGAATGCCGACAGATGCTGTGTCCCGACCTTCACCCTCTTCCTTCAGACTGACATGTCTGCGGGAACTTCAATGTGCTCTCTGGTCCTTATCTCTCCCTCCCACCTGTTGGTCTGCAGCTGGTCGATGCGCCGCAGTGGCAGCTCCCATTGGAGGCTTCAGGATCCCGCCCAACCCCGCCTCCCCATCGGACTCTGATGTTGTATCTGTGCTGTTTTGTGCTTCCATGTTGAAAGGAGTTTTTTTGTATAATAGAGTTACTCCCCGCTGGGGATAACTCTGCTATGCCTTTTTTTACCTACCCCCACTTATCCTCATGTAACACCCTTTTCATCTATCTATTAAGGTAGCGCGACTCATGTTGCGAATGACCGCAGTCACCAATTCTTGTTATGTGTCTTACCCACGTATGTCTGATCTTTGAATTGTGTGTGCTGAAACAGAATTTTCATTTCTCTGTATGTCCTGCACATGTGGTAGAAAATGACAATAAACGCTTCATCATCATCATCATCTTCATCATCATCAACTTAACCAAAGCTGAGACAAAATGTAAACGTTAAGTGAAAACCAGCCATCCAACAGCTGTTTTTGCACTTTATTGGTCTTACATGTTTACATGCTTCACTTAAGGCACTCGAGGAGTACAGACACATCCCTCTTTCGCTCCCTTATCTTTTTTTTCCCCCAAGGCTCTTTGTCCTACAGAGCGCTTCTCTGCATTTCTTCTGAAAAACTCTATTTTTTTTTTTACTAACCATGGATTTGATAAACTGGTCATTCAATGCGATCGATACGATTTTTTAAACAATGAGAATGGAGCAGGGGGCTCCCATATGTCCACAGGAGACACACCCGGTGGGATATATGCTGGATTCCTGGAAGGAGTGGAAGATCATATGCCTCTCCCAGCTGTCCATCGAGGACATCGAAGACATGTGGATATTTGGTCTGATGATCACTGGATTTCTCCTGATTGGAGTGGGAGGATATCTGGTTTTCTGGAAATTTGGGAAGACGGGAGCGATTGGAGGGTGACCCGCACCCACGGAAAGCACCGTTCGTGTGGAGACTTCTCAGACTGGGACGTTACTCGAGGTGAATCATAAGCTGGACAATGTTCTAGCTGCGATACCGGTATTAGTGCGCAAAATGGATGTCATCACGGAGAGAGTCACCGGACAATATGGGCAAGTTTAAAACCCAAAATTGGCTTCACTGAAGGACTGGAATGATCAGTTTAAAGACTGAAGGCAGAGAGGAAAATTATCTCAGCCTGACCCAAACAAATTCTTGTTATCTGAATCTGACGCCCTGGTAGCCTTGAGCTGCAAGCAACTAAAACCCCCACAAAGGAATGCAGACAGATGCTGTGAAAACCCGACCTCGCCTTCGGATTGGTGGGCTTCTGCCTGGAAAGGTCATCAACTGGAGGAGTCAATGTGCTCTTTGCTTCTCCCAAGATCTCCATCCCACCTGTGACTGTACAGTAGATGAGCGCCAAAGATGGCTGCTCTCGCTGGGGGAAACAGGATCCCAGCCCCCCCCCCCCCCCCCCCGCCTTCCTATTGGAGTCTCATGTTATGTTGTGTTGTCTGAAGTAGGGCTGCGACAAACGATTATTTGGATAATCGATTAATCGGATGGGGTCTCGACACGATTAATCGATTAATCGGATTACATAGGGACATTTTTAAAAACTGCTAGGGAAACGTTATTTCTCTCCTTCCTTCACTTTATTAAACACAACATTATTAGAAAACAGTTCAATAGCAGAAAAACAACATGCCATCACCTAAACTGTCTTATAAGGTGTATAGACAGAGACCCTAAGCTACACCTATCTGTGACCTAAAATGCTTG